AGTAAAACTATTATATATAAATAATTAATTATATATATATATATATATATATATATATATATATATATATATATATATATGAATAATTCAAAGAACCCGCTCACAAGAGTCATTTGTTCATCAATTGGACTAGTATTGTTATCGTTAACTAAAACTTAAACATTGTTTTTGTTAATTGAAATAAATTTAAAATGAAATAACAAAAATATTAGGTGGAGAGAAAAAAAAAATGTTGCATTGTCAACTAACTGAAAAAATACAGTACTAAAACTGAAAAAGGATTACAATTACTAATACTAAAAATGAAAAAAAGCCAAAAAATTAATATTTAAAAATAATTCAAAAGTACATAAAATTACTAAATCTGAAAATGAAATTAAACTGAAAATATAACAAAGTGAAATCTAAATATTAAGAAACACTGTAATAGTATATAAAAATGTTGTTAAAGAGCACTGTTCGACTATAACAGCATAACTCTGAAGATTACTGTACACACTGAATAAAGTCAAGTCGGATCCGAGTTTGAGAAAAAATACATAAAATATATGCAGTTCCTCCCTCTGCTCATTCATCTCTCTGTGTCTCTGTTGAGTGTTTGTCCCATGACCTCATGGCTCTTTTTTTTCCTCCTCGTAAAAAAGCTTTTCCGGATCAGAATGGGAGATCCATGGAATTGCCAAGCTTCCTCTTGCTTAATTAAGCTCTGAAATTCAAGCTGCCTCTCTGACCTCTGCACACACACACACACACACACACACACACACACTCTCTCTCACATGACTCCGGCTCTGTGGCATCAGTGTGAATGTGAGAATCAGCGAGAGGGGGAAAGAGATCTCTTGTCTGTTTTGAGTCTATTTATACACATGACGAAAGCAGACCACCCGACACGGTGCTCTGAGAGTCTGGATACGAGCAGCTGAGCTCAAGTTCACTCCAAGGTTTCCACTGCGCTGTTACGCTGATGTTTCTGTAGTCAATATTGCACCTTTGTTTTAGAGGTGGTGTCTCTGAAGCACTCAGTGGTGACAGTAAAGTAGGTCAGGTAATTTAATGTCATTATCCAGTTATTGGTGACATGAAACTGGACACATATTTTACAGTCTCCACTGGGCCAAAATTTGAAAAAAACTCATCTAATAGTGTAAATTCTAAAAGGAATCTTCGAACTTTATACCATTATAAAAATATAAATAAAACAAATAACAGTAGGGATCAAACTCTGCACTTCATTTGTTGTTTACTTAATCGATACAATCAATAGAAAAATTAAGTAAACATCACATTTCATTTCTTGTGAAATTATACAATTCTAAACTTATTGGACTACACTGATTTTGCTGTATGTTTTTGAATCACTAAAAAGAATCAGCTCAGAAGAGTCATTTGTTTGTGAATCTGACTACACTGGTTTCACTTTACATTGTTGATTCACTAAAAAGAATCAACTCATAAGAGGCATTTGTTTATGAATTACTACTTAATAGGACAACAGTGATTAATCTTTTCAGAGTAGAAGTTTAATCTTGGGATTTTGTATCCAGTGCATTGACCAATTAGAAGCCAGGGCTGGAACCAACAGTTTACCAAAACTACTTGACCCAAGCAGCAATTGTTACTGTTGTAGTAGATATAGTTTTTATCATTGTTTTTTGTTTTTTTTAACCATCAGGGTGAGACAGCAGCATAAACATGTTTTCTGCTGTTTTGCCCACAGCCGGTGAATTTGTAAGAACAACAGGAAAGCACCTACTCCCCCGTCTCTCGCTTTTTCTCTGTCTTCACTAGTTGGCCATGGGCAAACAGATCTGTCAGCACTTAACTGGAAGAGTAATACATTGTAATACCACACAGAGGGAGGTATCAAAGAGCAGGAAAAGATGAGGCACTTTACGACCGTAAAAACGCTTGACCTCTTGCTGGCCCCTCCTCCCTGACTTTACCCAGCTCTCTGTGAGACAATGCAGCCCTACTGACGTTCATGGGAATTACTTCCATCCCTGTTGGAGTGGATGTTGTGATATCGGGCTCACATGCGGAAGTGTTCGGAATGTGTGCGGGCAGTCCAGATAATGGGAGCGATTATGGCGTGCCGTATAGCCGATGGCCATGAATCAAGGGTTTGTTAAGTGTGTGTGAGAGCGAGTCTCGCTCTATGAAAACACCCCTTGTTCTAGGCAGATGAAAAGCAGGAGGAGGAGATCGGAGGGGGGCAGTGCTAGAGTATGGCCAGGCAAGACAGGCCCATGTGGGGTTTGTGTTTGCAGAGACTTCCGCCCAGTGTGAGGCCTACATGCAAATGAAACCTCACAAACAAGTACAATGGGTGAGAGGTCAGGATAGCGATCTAGTCTTGTAAACAGAACCCAGACAGCAGCAAGAGAGAGAGAAGAAAACTGTCAAATGCCACTTTAATATTTACATTTCAAACATGAAGTTGTGTCATTTTTTTTTCCTCTTATGAGACCATTCACACAGTATGGATTCTTGCATTAATTGTATAAATTGTTTACATGGTAATGTGCACACACACAACTATTTTATATGAACTATTGGCCACATTTTACAAATGTATTCCCTCATTTAAGTTAAATAGTGGTCATGTTGTAGTAATTTATTCCCTTGTTTAATTTAATGAAATGATGGCCATAATTTTAACTAAAAAGAGTGAAAACATGTCCACAAATTAAGAATTCATTCGAACTACATATTAGTTTTCCCTGCACTTCTTGTGCGGGACACTGTACTGATGGCTAACAGTAATACTATCAAACTGTGTAAATGTTAAAAATACTGTGAAATGTACTTTGGTAACCCTTAAAAAGATATTTTCTAAAGTTTAAAAGAACCTTCTTGTAGCCCACTGGGGATCCCGATATTCCAGTTAGAACCCCCTCCCCTATTCCAACTTAACATGCAGAAACACTCAGATTGGTTCCCTTAAAAAGTGTAAGCAGATTGCTGAAAATCTAAGGTTGAGTTGCGTAGTAGTGGATGTGTTGTATTTTAGTGCTCTTTCCGTCAGCTGCATAGTGCTAAATGTCAGTGAGTGTTTCCCTCGGCTGTCTCTGAGCACCTGCCACTTCTGTTGCTCGTAGCGAAAGAGTGCACATTCCTTACTTGGTAAAGGAGAGAATGAGAGAGAGGGAGCGAGGGAACATGTAACCTTTTATCCCCCTAGCCAGCTTCATTCCTCATGTATAAATCACATATGAATGGTCATGGAAAAACACACACAGCTCTGTGAAAAGGGAAGATTTTCCTGACAAGGCACAGAGGAATATGATAGTATTTCAGAAAAATGCTGAAACATTAGTGAATGCCCATAAATGGCTGTTGTGTTATATGACAGCAGCGTGATCTTGTTGATCTCAAGGAACATTGTGTTTTCTTTCTCTGTCTGAATATTTATAGACATCGCATTAATGTGCTTCTCTCTCTCTCTCTCTTTCTCTCTCTCTCTTATTTCTTGCAGACTAAACAGAGCCAGTCGCCTCATTAAAGCTCCTTCACCTCTTCTCTCCGTCGAGAGGAGGAGAGGAGGCACTCGTGTGGACAGATGGACCACGTTGCTGCTGCTGCTTCAGCTCTCCGCTGATCTTTAACCTCCCGAATCCATTCAAATGGCAGTCGTCACGGCAACACGGACACTTGACCCCAGTGCGAGGCATGACGATGACTCACAGATACAGAGGCGGGACTTCCTGTCTATCTGTTACTCACAACAATCTCTTCCCTCAATTTTTGTGTTACGGACCTTTTTCACTGGTTTTGTTACGAGCTCCCCCCCCCAAAAAAAACCAAACACGAAGAGAAACATCCAGTCTGCACACGCACACATACACCTGTCACACAAGTCGCTTATTTATTTACCCCATGTGGTGGTATGTGTGCATGTGTTCGCGCACAAGCGGTTGCAACACTGCACAGAGGTGGCATTTCAGAAATTTACTCAACAATTGGAAATCGGAAAAAGCAGTCACTTGGAAACCCTACCTCAGAACGAGCCAGTTTATGACTTACAAAAAGATATATATTGAGAAATTAATTTATTTTTTACAAGTGAATGTTTTCGTAAAAAACACCAATCCAAAGCCTTACTGACTGTACTGTCAAACAGTGTTTCCTGGAGGACCTGCATACACTCACAAGAGTATCAAAGACAGCTGTTTGCCATGGTAACTGAATGTCTTTTACTGCAGCAGAGGAAGGTTTTGCACTGCAGTCAAAGATCTATGAATGCTATTTTGCATTCTACACAGATATTTAAATTATTTTAATAATATAATATTTATCTGAGCTGGTAAAGGACCAGATGGGTGGCCGCCTGCCTGCCATCCCGCACACATGCAAAGCAGGCTTCCAGAGCAGAGGAGTTATCAGTTTTGGAACGAAGCCACACGCGATTTACACACAACCCTTACGGTACGCTAGATGAATGATGTTGTGCACCTCAGGTCAGAGAGAGGAGCACCTCACCAAGCCTAGGCACACTAGCACACTTTAAATCACGGTCTTTACACCTTAACAACCCAGAAGCCTCTGCTGACTTGCCCTCTTTCACTGCTCTGAATACACAGGCTTCCCTTCACCTTACATCCGCACCCGTCGGCTCGCCGTTCGAGAGAGTGATAGATTCAGGGACGTCTCAGAAGGCCTGACACCATTAATGCTGCTCCCTACCATCAGACAGGGATAGACTCGTCAGAACCAATGCTTTGTCTTGCACTTACAAACTCCTTAGATTGTAACACAAGACACTTTTGAATGTAGAGTATTCTGGAGATCTCCACAGGAGACCAAATGCACGGCCTAAACATCCACAAACAGACTGATACTGAGGCAGAATCATTCAAACGCAAACAAGCGAAACAAAGTAAAACACACACAACTTGACTTAAGTATATGAAAACGTTTGCCTAGAAACCTGTACATAATGTATTAAGAGATTGCAACTGATGTTTTTGTTAAATATGATAACTTATGTCTTATATATGGTATGTGTTTGAATTAATTTCCCCCAAACAACTAAAGCACTAATGAAGGTACTTGCCAAAGCCTGAACTTTGGCCTTGCGCTTTTCTTTTCTAATTCTTCAGTATGTTTGTAAAAGTATGTACGCTGTACGATAAATGCCACTTCAAGGGTATTTGATAATGCTACAATACAGAAGAAAAAATAACTAAAATTCATTGAATGATACTTGATATTACAAAAATAGGTACAAATTCACAAACGGCATATGCAATATTTACATTTTTTTAAAGATTAGTTTACAGAAATGAACCAAATGTACAAATACTGTGTTAATATATTTAAAAACTTAAGATTTTTTTTTTTTTTGCTGTACAAATTTTTTTCTGCCAACTTAAAATGGAAAACTTTGTTTTGCTGTTGAATACTAACAGTAATTTCAGCAGTGTTCTTATGTGAATGCTGTTTCTCAGTATGGAAAGCTTGAATATTTCAATGCCTGAGCAAGTTTTTTATTTTTTTCCTGTGTCTTCCATTGTATATACTTCATATTATTTGCATTGTGATGCTACTTAGAAATGATAACTTAAACTTAGTGTAATTAGCATTGCTTTAGAAACTGTATTGATTCTGAATAGCCACATGCAATAAAAAAGTAACATTATTTAAAAAGCCCAGTGTCTCTGCTCATGTCTGTTTCATAGCTTAAATGACACTACTTGTGTGACTTCCTGAGAACAACCTGGCTCCGCCAGACAGCAGATGTCTTCATTCATCATCTGAGCAACAGAATACTCTGAATATATTCAACTTAAGTGATGTAACTTTCAAGGAGTCTGTGTGGTTAATTTAACGCAGACTAAACAAATAGTTCATGAAGACACTCATAATGGCTGCAGTCTGATCTACTGCCTGACCCGGAATTCATAACGGACTAAAAGGATTATGAATTTTCATGCCCAAAGATGAAAATGCCATATGATGAAGGATTATTAATTCTGAAGCCCCTACTAATTAAAATGGTAATTAAGTCTTGGGGTAAGATGGAATTGCACAGCCTGGTCAGTGCCAACAGTGTGGGGGGTTTGGGCCGGGCGACAAAGGATCAAAATAAACAGGTCTGGGATCCTTCCCTCTGGCCTGTCTCGGCAGATGCAGGGATTCCTGGTATCCTGCTGAGCTGAGACCGGCCGGCTTTCTGTGTCAAGACTCCCTGATATGTGCGGTCATTATGTCTTGACCAATTAGATTTATGCATAATCGAGCCAGCTTTGAGCAGTCCTTTTGACTCATGTCTCATTTAAAGCCGTGTCCACTTATGTGAATGCTGGCAGTTTCCCACAAATGTCAGCCTCAGAACGTCAGAATCAGTAAATGCACTGACTTCTGGGAACTGTCAGCCAAGCCTCAACTGGGCGAGTCAGACTTGCTTTTTCTGATATACTGTGTGTGTATATGACCGACACCAGGAAAGACCCAACAGGCGTGAATGAGAGTAGGAAGAAAGTCCCTGAGAGAAACAGCTTTCCTCAATTTGCTGACAATCCCATCATCCATCACAGCCCTCATCAGCCACACACAGCTTGTCTGGAACAACATGCTAATTGATCTTATTAAATAATAAAAGGTAATGGATGATTGAAATTCTCCTGTAGACGGGAGAATGGATGCTCAGGCTTGATAATGTAGAATGGGCAGTGTTTACTATAACTACTGCAGCACTCTGTCAATTTTTCTTTAGGTATATCACACAAAACATTTAAATCACTAGTTTAAGATTTACAAGTTTACACACATTACAGAGTAATACACTGTAATATTGAGGTCAATTATTATTTTCATTGTGAGACATTACAGCTGTTTTAAAAGTGAGGCTGGATGGAGATGCTGTGAGTAATAATAACAAGATTAAAATAAATTTAGTTTTTTATTTAATACAAGTCAAATATAATTGTATTGGGACAATTATAACAGTAAAATTATATGATTGCTTTAATATTTAATATATTTTTGAATAGTTTTCATTTTTATATTGTCCTTATTTTTGTACTTGTGTTTATAATGTTTAAAGTTTCATTGATATCTACCATGTAATTATTTTATAAAAGTTAAAGTTGATTTTAAATTAAATATTTTAATTGATAAATTTTTGTGATAGTAACAGCATAAGTATCTGCCATTTATGTTTATCTTCAACTTCAATTAAACTTAAATACTTTAAATTCAAAGACAGCAAAACCTCAGATGACAGAGAGAGAGAGAGAGAGAGAGAGAGAGAAAGTTGAAAATCTCTCCCAAATTGATACAGTCACACTTTTTAAATTTTTTGCCCTGGAAGAGAAAAGCCCTGGACTACAAAGCAGTTTACAGCACCACAGAGGGCTCCTGGCTGTCCTGGGGTCAAATCTATAAAACTTATTAGAGTAACAGCACTGATCTAAGGTAATTTTTAGTTGCATATTATTCCCCTATGCAGGTTATATTGAAGTGTGCTGTTCTACTGAGAGGAGTAATTAACTTTAATAATGAAAGTGAGAGAGAGAGTACAAACCATCTGAGGGTTAAACTAATCATGTTAACTGTATGAAACATGCTAAAGTGCAACATCTTAGATAGACATTATTCTGTAAGACAAAGTCCCTAAATGACCATATATACTACACTGTACCTTAGAGGGACTGGAGGAGCTAGAAGAGCTAATGGTGCAGACGAAATGTACACAATAGACAATTCTTGATGGCCTACAAGAAGATGGGCTCTACAGAGAACGCAAAGCAATCCAAATATGCATGCATATAATATATGAAACCAGGACATGTCCAGGAAAAATGCATGGTTTAGTATAATTAATTTATAATTATATACAGGTGCATCTCAATAAATTAGAACGTCGTGGACAAGTTCATTTATTTCAGTAATTCAACTGCTGTTCAATTGTCAAACTCGTGTATTAAATAAATTCAGTGCACACAGACTGAATTAGTTTAAGTCTTTGGTTCTTTTAATTGTGATGTGTTGTCTCACATTTAACAAAAACCCACCAATTCACTATCTCAACAAATTAGAATATGGTGACATGCCAATCAGCTAATCAACTCAAAACACCTGCAAAGGTTTCCTGAGCCTTCAAAATGGTCTCTCAGTTTGGTTCACTAGGCTACACAATCATGGGGAAGACTGCTGATCTTACAGTTGTCCAGAAGACAATCATTGACACCCTTCACAAGGAGGGTAAGCCACAAACATTCATTGCCAAAGAAGCTGGCTGTTCACAGAGTGCTGTATCCAAGCATGTTAACAGAAAGTTGAGTGGAAGGAAAAAGTGTGGAAGAAAAAGATGCACAACCAACCGAGAGAACCGCAGCCTTATGAGGATTGTCAAGCAAAATCGATGCAAGAATTTGAGTGAACTTCACAAGGAATGGACTGAGGCTGGGGTCAAGGCATCAAGAGCCACCACACACAGACGTGTCAAGGAATTTGGCTAGTTGTCGTATTCCTCTTGTTAAGCCACTCCTGAACCACAGACAACGTCAGAGCTGGGCTCTGGGCTAAGGAGAAGAAGAACTGGACTGTTGCCCAGTGGTCCAAAGTCCTCTTTTCAGATGAGAGCAAGTTTTGTATTTCATTTGGAAACCAAGGTCCTAGAGTCTGGAGGAAGGGTGGAGAAGTTCATAGCCCAAGTTGCTTTAAGTCCAGTGTTAAGTTTCCACAGTCTGTGATGATTTGGGGTGCAATGTCATCTGCTGGTGTTGGTCCATTGTGTTTTTTGAAAACCAACGTCACTGCACCCGTTTACCAAGAAATCCGTTTACCAAGAAATTTTGGAGCACTTCATGCTTCCTTCTGCTGACCAGCTTTTTGAAGATGCTGATTTCATTTTCCAGCAGGATTTGGCACCTGCCCACACTGCCAAAAGCACCAACAGTTGGTTAAATGACCATGGTGTTGGTGTGCTTGACTGGCCAGCAAACTCACCAGACCTGAACCCCATAGAGAATCGATGGGGTATTGTCAAGAGGAAAATGAGAAACAAGAGACCAAAAAATGCAGATGAGCTGAAGGCCACTGTCAAAGAAACCTGGGCTTCCATACCACCTCAGCAGTGCCACAAACTGATCACCTCCATGCCACGCCGAATTGAGGCAGTAATTAAAGCAAAAGGAGCCCCTACCAAGTATTGAGTACATGTACAGTAAGTGAACATACTTGGTGGGTTTTTGTTAAATGTGAGCCAAAATCGTCACAATTAATAGAACCAAAGACTTAAACTACTTCAGTCTGTGTGCATTGAATTTGTTTAATACACGAGTTTCACAATTTGAGTTGAATTACTGAAATAAATGAACTTTTCCACGACATTCTAATTTATTGAGATGGACCTGTATATAACTAGTGTTGCAAAGTGTTGTCCTCAACTTCAGCTAGTGTTAGCATCTTGCAATTGTTTAAATTCCAAGGCTAAACCTTTAAACAGCAGAAGAAAATATCTCTTTACCTCTAAATAATTTTTGTAGAAAAATATTTTCCAAAGTAAAACATTCAATATTAAGCATGTGCTGAAAAAAGTTGTGGTCACATTTACTGCTGTACAGTGAATTTCTGCTAATGAAATCTAGTAATTTCAATATGAATCCACATGGTTGGGAATTTGGAGAGAGGGTGAAATATTTCTTCACACAGACTTCGCAACAGATTCACGCTGTTCATGCCGATTCGCTGTTATGATAAACAGAAAACCGCTTGGTTAGAAATTGACAAATCGCTACACTATTGACAATAGACAATGTGTTTTTTTTTTGTGTGTGTGTGTGTGTTTTATTTTTTTGCCTGTGAAATTTCATTATGTGATCGTACCATTCTAGCGTGTTTGTTCGAATTATCAGAGACGAGAATTTTTATTTCTTGTTCTCTGAGACACATGAAAGTCATAGCATGCATTGCTCAGCAAGTCTGCTGGTGTTTTCCTGAACGTAATGGTGAGGCTGAGGTGAGAGTTTCTCAGCTGATTCATGTTGTTTGCCTGCAGCACAGGACTTTCAGCATTGCGTAAGTGCTAGAATATTGTTTTCTTTGCTATTTTTTTTTCTGCTGCTGATGTGAAGGCAGGCTCAGCGGAGGGATTAGTCCTCTTCCACCCTGCCTCTCTCACTCTTTCTGTCTCTCCCTTGCTTTCTGCTGCTACGCAGGACAGATCTGACCTGCAGAAACTCGCCAGACAGAGAGATGAACTATCAAAGGCACCCTCTTTCACTCTTTCCTTTGCTCTTTCTGTCTGTCTGGCAAACAGATGCTGATAGGGCAGACAGAGTAATAGGGTTGCTCCATGCAAACGTGCAATGAACAAAGACAGCATGGGAAGTACAAAGAGCTCATGAGACTGAAAACAGACAAACACAAACATCTGAGCACACCTGGGATGACTCATTATCAACTTGGCCGGCATTCAGGGGGTGAGCTCATGGTCCCCCCTCCCCCCTCTCTTTTTCCTCTTTTGCCTTTGTTGTTTTTCCCAGAACTCTCCACAGCCACCGCAGCAGCAGGAGGGAGGGGCGGGGTTTAGATAAGACCTGCCCACAGCTCACCTGCATGAACATATAAACAACATGACTTCGGGTGCTTCTCAAACGGAAGGCTGCATCCTACCGAGGCTGCGTCCTT